TGAAAGTTGTTAAGACTAAAGTGACGAGAAACGTACTGATTGTGGAATTTCTATGTACCAAAAGTTTGTATCGAGGAAGAATGAACTGGTTTAATAAAGAAAGGACTTGTATTGCTGAAGATCCTCGGAACGACTTTCTACCGGAAACAAACAAAAAAGCAAATAAGTAAAAAATTGGTGTCAGTGAGTTGTTACGTCAGCGAGGTCACGTGACTAGTGTCATACCACCTGCTTTTTAGAACTATCCCGTTCCTTAGGGAGTGCTCTAGCATTTACTAGATTGGGAGGTGGTCTGGTATATATAAGATGGTCACGGCGTGACGTGACAATGTGTGTGTAGGTAGTGAGTAATTGAACTGCAGTCACAAAGTGTTGTTCAAGTTAACGTTCGTTGTTAAAACGTTTGTTATACAGCGACTGTTGAAAATAAATGTATCGGTAAAGTTATATTCAGAAAGAATAAACCAGTTTTATTAAGTAAGGACTTGTGTCGCTAAAGTTTCGTCGAAATGAAGTTACGGAAAATCAACTAACGAACGGAGACGTAACAAACTGGTGTCAGAAAGTGGGATAAAAAAAAAGAAGAAAAAGAGAAGATGGAAACGAGAAGCGGCAAATCAAACTACAGTTTAGCAAATTTGACGGCAGCAATACAAGAACAGCAAATAAAACAAGAAGAGAGACAACAGCAGTTGCAAGAAAACCTGCAACAATGGCAGCTCGAACAACAAAATAAACAAGAACAGAAACAAGAAGAACAAGAAATTAAACAAGAAGAAAGATTACAGCAGTTGTTAGAGGAAAAGAAAAGAAACAAGAAGAACGAGAAATTCAACAAGAATAGAGATTACAGCAGTTGTTGGAGGAAAAAGAAAAGAAACAAGAAGAGAAATTACAGCAGTTGTTAGAAGAAAAAGAAAAGAAACAAGAAGAGAGACAACAGCAGTTGCATGAAAACCTGCAACAGTGGCAGCTGGAACAGCAAAATAAACAAGAGAGATTACACCAGTTGTTGGAGGAAAAAGAAACAAGAAGAAAGATTACAGCAGTGGCAAGAAGTACAAATGGAAAACATTAGTAAATTTAAAAGCGAATTAGATACGTTAAAGGACGACTTTTTGTCTTTTACACAAGGAGCATACATTAACCATCGACTTAACCAGCCCCAGACAATGACAAGCCCTATCCAAACCCTGCAGCTAAACCC